GTTTTGGCACAATTCTGTTGTTCATACCGACGTTAACCCTGTCTGTGCACACGGTGAACAACTCTGTCGTCCAGTGATCTAAGCCTCTGCCTCACAGGTCCGTCGGTTATGTCCTGCGCGGCTCGCCCAGCTCCAGTTCAATCAGTCACAGAAAGTCCGAAGATTTTTTTCAGGGAGCGAAACGGCAACATAGCTGCTTAATGTCTTTGTTTTTTTTTTACATGTCTAGTAGTTTACTCCATTGAGTGTTGACAAGAAACACGTGTAGACTAAATATGTGTTTGGTTTTGATGTTTTGAGGTACGCAAAGGCGCGTAGTGACACAAGTGACGTTACGCAATTCAGATTTGTGCCGCGCATGCGTACCTGCGTACCAGTTATGTGCACCCCTGATTATACACGGAAACAAGAGTGGAACAAGGAAATCCCTCCAGACAGCGGTCCACTCTAGATTAAACAAGGCAGCTTTTCTTAAAAACCCTGAAAGACTTCCTCTGTCTTACACACACACTTAAAAACATATCTCCAAGCTCCCCTCAGACTCATTAACCATTCTGCATCGAGACCTGGCTAATGACCACACACACACACACACACACACACACACACACACACACACACACACACACACACACACACACACACACACACACACACACACACACCACACACACACACACCACACACACACACACACACACACACACACACACACACACACACACACACACACACACACACACACACACACACACACACACACACACACACACACACACACACACACACACACACACACACACACACACACACACACACACACACACACACACACACACACACACACACACACACACACACACACACACACACACACACACACACACACACACACACACACACACACACACACACACACACACACACACACACACACACACACACACACACGAGAGTCCTTTAAAGAGAATCTTCCAGCAAACTTTAGACTCAATGTAAACAAAGTCAGGTGCTGGCAGTGTGCTCTAGGGCGGAATCCAGGAAACAGCTGCCAGCCAATCAGAATACAGCTGAAACAGTGGACTAATAATAATTTAGATTTTTATAGCGCCTTTCGAGAAACCCAAGGATGCTTTGCAACTGGAGATAAAATAACAAAACAAATAAAAGTAGAGTCTGAATTTTTAGAGAAAGAGAGAAGAGCTCACCCTTGTACAGCGTGACCCTGCACAGCACAGACTGAGAGGCTCGACATGTGACTTGCACATGCACAACGCTCTCTTGGGGACACAACAATTTGGAAAAGACGCCTAGATCATTAAAACAGACAGACAGTGTTCAAAAACATGCACACATGTCCAACTCAAAAAAACAGAGTGCTCAGGCTGCCACAAGACAAACTGTTCTCTCTGTTCTCGCCCATTACCATGAGGAGGGCATGACAACTCTGCTAGTGCATGGCAGCAAAGTAACACAGATTTCTATCAAACTGTTCCCAGTTAGAGGGCTTCGTTTGTTAATGAGACACTTCAGCAACATTAAATAGGAACATTCTGTGCCTACTGAAAGCCAATACAACTCGTTTTCTTATTTGCTTCTCTGACAGGATCTTTGGTGTCTGCTAGTGTGCGTAAGGCGTTTGTTGATGTCCTTTATTACACCTATGCAAATAACAAAGGCAGGCAGATAAATTAAAAACAAACATTCTATCCTTTAGATGATAAAAAGGTATAGGTCAGTGTTTGGGAAATATTCTGAAGTCGCTTTCTCGCAGAGAGATGAAAAGAATCATACCACTTTCATGTCTTTGTAATAAACCCTAAACCTCTTTGATTATATATTTGTGTTATCCCATGTTATCCTTACACTGTCAGAGGGTTCAAGGCAATAAGATAAGAATGCTGGAATAACTCTCATGTCAGGTACAATAAGAGGATGTAAAACTGGATGTTAGATCAACCTGAAGCTCGGCACCCATGCATGAAAGCAACATAACTGTCTGGCACAAAGAGAGGATGTGCAGAGGTCCAAAATGTTATTGTTTTCTGGTATTTGTTCACTCTTTATTGTCATTTCCCTCGTTTCTGTGGGGGTTTGAAATGTGTGCGTAATAACATTCCACAGCGGAGTGTTTTTATGGATACATTTTTTAAAGTGAAGCATCGGTCATCTCTGTGTTTTGAAAACACACACACTGGTAAAACTCTAAAATGTCGGGCTCCATTGAGTTCCTTTGCTATTTTAGTTTTCAGCAGGATCTCCACTCTCCTGAAAATCTCATTTTCATTAGCATAAACTTTCAATTGAAATGTACTTTCCTAAAGCTCATGCCATCTAAAAGTCCTCCAAGTCTTAATAAAGCAAATTCAATTAAACAATTTGTAAATGAACTTTGGCTTGGCCTTGATAGTTCACTAATGTAAAGTTGTTCAAGAAACAACTATAGTGTTTAAAACTGTCCGTTTTAGATACATCACTATGATACATTTCAAATGTAACGGCCTGATCCTGAGCACATGTTTCCCATATCAAATATTTCTTTCTGAAGTAATAGGGTGAGCTTTTGACAGGTTAACAACTATTGTTTCTTTTCAACAGCTGTGGGGTGTGATCAGAACTGAGGCAAACACCGACACTCATGGGGACAAATTCAAAAAAAGAAAACTGACAAAATAAGAGACAGAGGCATCACATCCACTGATCTCACACTCACAAACTGCTGAAAGATTCAACAGGCGACCGGCGGGTGTGAAGACAGCCGGCCCTCGCTCCCCCCATCCCCCCCCCCGCCCTCTCAGGTATCCGCATTGTGTTACAGCAGGTAAAAAGGGCACACACGAGCAGAAACAAACGATCGTGTGTCAGCTCAACGGCTGCGTGCTGAAGCCTTTCACACTGAACAATAGAGCGGCAGCTTTGTCTGCACACACACGCAGACACACACACATACTGTGGAAACAGGGACACACAAGTGATGCCTCAGAGCGTCTGTTTGATCAGTTCGATAGGTTGCCTTGATGGGACGCTCATCACACAGATTTTGGTAATGTGTTTGCGCTCCTTCCAGGAAGACATCTCTATAGACATAGCGGCTTTATTTCTTGTGGCAGTGAATCTTACTAGGGATCGTTAAGGTTTTAACGGTACTACTACTTTTATCGATACCGCTTATCGATCCGGTCCTTTAACGGTACTCTTATTGGTTCTTTTAGAGAAAAAAACAAGGTAAACTAACTAAACAAATTGTGAACAAAATTAACATTGCTTTTTATTTAAATTAAATACATAATATTTCACCTCAAAAGAAACAACAGTGTTTTAACAAACCGTATTAAATAATCTGATGACAGAACTGTAAACAGAATAGATGAAACTTGAACAAACTAAATAACTCAGTTCCCTCTAATCATTAACCCATGTTTGTATAATGTAGTTAGCTCCGTGTGTTGCTGCTAGCATACATAACACCTGACGTGGAAACGTTACTCGTGGATGGGGCTACAGAGCTACCAGAAAGACAGTCGAACCCGGTGCGTTTCTCCGTCTGAATGTGGTGCACTTTTGCTAAATGTTCAGACAAACTGCTCGTGTTACCGCCCTGACATGCTAAACTCTTATTGCACTTTAGGTAACGAGCATTGTCCACATCGAGACGGGTAAAGTTTAACCACACCTCGGAGCGCGTTCTCTCCGCCATCTCCTCCGTGTGTGTGTGTTGCTGCATGTAGCAGCTGCGTGTGTGTAAACTGCCTCGCCCCCTCACACACAGACGGGGGAGAGAGATCTCTCGCCTGGATTGGAAAGATCGAAAATACTCAAACTAATCATAGATGCATTTTGCAGTCTTTTTGCGTATTAGAAACGGAGTTGGCGACACTAAAACTGCAATATAATGTTTGTGTAGCAATAATACATAATACATATTTTTTAGATGTCTCCAGTACCGATAAAAAGAACGATAACGTCGGAGCTTAACGGTACCACGGTCTTTAATAATTCAGCACCGGGGCCCGTTTAATACCGGGGCTCGGTACCCATCCCTAAATCTTACACACATTCAATATCCCCATCACTTATGACTTGAGGTGTAACTTAAAACTGAACATCGGGTGAAGCAGAGCCCCCCCGTCAGGTGGCACTGTTAATTACTAGCGCACAGAATGAGTCATTGTGGACTTTGAGAAGCCTTGAAGGTGATAAGGGTGTCGATAATAAGCGGAGGTGAAACAGGCTTATGATCTAAAGGTGCAAACTGGTCAAACTAGAGAAAGTGATTACACAAAGCTCTATTCTCCTTCAGCAACTACTTCTGAGACGCTTTAAGTTAAGGCAGTAGAATGCATTCAGTCTGTTTGTTTTTAAGTTTTATCTGCACACTGCGCACTGTTTTTATCTGTAGACTCTGTTAATTACATAAATGGTGCTATTTTTACTGTATCTTCTTTTATCTAATCAAGTCATGCTTGTTTCCAGGGTAATCATTATTTCTTCTTTGCATTTTATTCTTTTATTGTACTTTTTTAGCATACTGCCCCAACACCTAGTTCATTTGAATCTGTCTTTCGATCTGTGGAAACACGTTCAGAGTTAGTGATTTAACACCAAATACTGTTTCAAACCAACATTGTAGAGGCCTAGTGTGTGTTTACATGTGTGTCACAGGCTGCGTTGCAAATATATAATATATTGATTTATGATCGATTCCCATTCATGCAACGGTCAAGATGAGTTCATTCAGATCTTAAACTGGGAAAACTCCAACATGTTTCTGTTTCTGTTATTATACTTAAAGACTTGCTGGTCCGAATAAGTTACAGAATATTATACTTCACTGCTAACAACACCTTCAATTATTCATGTGAGGGTGTGTGTTTTACTGGGGTAAGTTTACTGTGTGACCCATGCCGCGCCACATGGCCCTGACCAACCAGAGTACAGCAGCATGTACTGTGTGTGTGTCTGTGAGTCTGTGTGTGTGTGTGTGTGTGTGGGACACTCACCCCAGTGTGTGAGGGGCACTCTGCTGTGCTGAGGGGACAGGTTGGAACACCTGAGCTGGGCGTGTCTGCTTTCTCCCGGGTGCCGTCTGTCGTCTGTTCGACGGTGTTTAGGTTTCTGTGTCGCAGCACGAAGGCCGGGCCCTCGGCCGGGCCTTCGGCCCCACTCGTCTCTCCTCCGTCCAGCTTGACACGCTACAGAGAGAAGACTACGATGAAGAGGACTTATTGTGGACGGGACCAAAACCCCTTTGGATCCTTACTTTGTGGCAGAAAGAAGAGGAAGAAGAGAAAGGTAGAAAGAAAGGAAGAGAGATAGCAAAGAAAGAGAGGAAAAGATGGAGACAGAAAAAAAAGTTAGTTTCCATGACTTTGTTTATTCTCAAATTTGAAATTACGGCAATCAAATCAAATCAAATCAAAACATGGAAACACTCCAGCCATTCTAACTGTTAATACATCACATGCAACAACATTAAAGTTTTAAGATAATACTCTGTAATACGCAGTTCCCCAAAGAAGGGAAAGTATAAGCCCAATAAATGTCAACCGTGGCTGTAGCAATTAAATAGTTACATTCTGGATTATCATAAACATCACGAACAAAGCATTGGGAGTCTTTTATTTGGGCCAGAATACATAACAAGTCATTAAAAGGAGCCACGTTCCATCCCTTAAAGAGTCAAATATCCTGCAGATACAGTGTATACATCATTGGAGACATGTTTGCTTTAGAGATAAAGATCATGTAGAACTTGCTGTCATGGTGAGTTACTTAGCGACGAGAATGTGTCAAGGACAGGAACAAGACATTCACACACAGGAAGTAGATGTGTTCTCTGTTTATAATCAGGGGTGCACACAACTTTCTCAGTGAGGTACTCAGATGAGTACCTGGAGTCAGTGTTTGGTACTCCAACTTCTGGCGATTGTCAACGGGGGGGGGGGGGGGGGGGGTGGTTGGTAGTAGAGTACAGCGCTCCGCGATTGTCAACGGGGGGGGGGGGGGTGGGAGGGTGGAGTACAGCGCTTCGCGATTGTCAACGGGAGGGGGGGTGGAGTACAGCGCTTCGCGATTGCCAACGGGGGGGGGGGGGGGGTGGTAGTGGAGTACAGAGCTTCGTGACCGCGGAGCGTGTGAACGTTGTGATCAGCTGTTTTAGCGCAGGGCTGCTGTACAGACCAACGTTAACAGCAGCCCTGTCTGAGCGCAGCACACGGAGACCGGTGATCTAACCGCCTTCTGGAAAAGCTTCACAAGTACGTCGGTACGCAAATGCGCTTTGTGACACAAGTGACGGTACACATTTCAGATTGTTGCCGCGCCTGCGTACCAGTTATGTGCACCACCCCTGTTTATAATGTACAGTTATCATCACAGTCTGTCTGCTGCTATACAGGCACAATGTAACATATGGCTTCATTTACAATTCAAGCTTGATAAACAGTGTTAACGAGCAAGGTGGGATATTTACACCAAATTCAAATCAAGTCCAAATACTGCTGACATTATTTAATCATAAGAGGCAAAGCTTTTTATATGAAAGGCAACTCTCTGAGTTTGAAGGATTGCAATTTCACAGCTATGACTACATCTTTTTAACTTCTGGGAGAAATGGTCATGGTGGAAACAGCAGCTCAAGTGTCTCCGAACATGTGAGGACCTTAATCACAACCTTCATTTGGAGAAGCACAACACGGGTTTAATAACAAGTCCTTGGTTTTGAAGGTTAACTATCCTTCTTATTTAAACCTGACCTCTATGGCCACATATCTGTTTCCAAACAGTTACCACACACACACACACACACACACACACACACACACACACACACACACACACACACACACACACACACACACACACACACCACACAGCCACACCCACACCCACACACACACACACACACACACAACACACACACACACACACACCACACAACACACACACACACACACACACACACACACACACACACACACACACACACACACACACACACACACACACACACACACACACACACACACACACACACACACACACACACACACACACACACACACACACACACACACACACACACACACACACACACACACACACACACACACACACCACACACACACACACACACACACACACACACACACACACACACACACACACACACACACACACACACACACACACGGGGATTATACACTCAAGGGGGCGGGGGATGAAAACACATGCACGTAAGCATGCAGGGGGTAAAAGAGCTGCAGTGGATCAGGACAAATGACACACTCGTGCAAAATAAATAACAATGCGTAAATGTAACATCCTTATCTTACTTAGGGGATTGCTTTTGCACCTTTTTTGCTGCACTGTATCATCGTGTTAAAGTGAGTTTAAGAGAGTTAAGGGAGACAGAAAATTGGCTTCTTCACTACTCACACAGCGGAGTGTCTTCCGTTGCATGCATAAAGCTTTTTTATTTTTATTTGAATGATGCCTTGTTTCAAGTGAAAAAGCCAAAACGTGTTGCCGTGTTATTTAATATCTAGTCACCTAAGTATGGACTTGGCACTGATTTTTAAGGACGACGTATAAAACGCCCACAAATAATGTACAAGGACAATGTATAACAGCCAAATGAATACCATCCCTAAAACAACCAACACCTATTCTCAAAGGATATTTTAAAAAGCTCTACATCTAAGCAGTCCGAAAAAATAAAGAGATGAAAATACTAGATGTTAGTAGGAAACAGACATTATTCTGATATTTACTTGCTTTAGTGATATTACCCTACCCTTAAAATGGTGTTTACTTATAGGTCACCTTATTACTTTGTTTGTAAGTTATGATAAGAACTCAAAAGTAAAGAAAAATTCACGAAGCTTCTTATTACCTGTGGTTAAAACTAATTACAGATACTGAAACCCTGGGAGCAGCTTTTACCAGAGAATATGCGTGTTGTAAGCAAGCTGAATATACATGATGATTTCCCAGGGAACTATCATTATTATAGAGGCGAAACATCAAACCACAAACGGTGGCGTTTAAAGAAAATGTTGAATACAAGTTTTAAGAGTCAGGACTATACAGCAGAAAATGACAGAAGGAAATCGTTAAAAGAGCCATGGGAATAATTCTCAAGGTTTCATAACACAATGGCATCGACTAACTGAGTATCAGTATTATATGCAAAGATGATAAAAAAAAGAGCATTTGAGCTGAGATGAGGTGCCTGTGGGCGAGTTCCCTAATCGAAGTCAAACACTTCTACACTCAGAGATTGTCAAATCAATCTCTCCCCTTTGCCACCCTCCTCTTCCACCCAAATCGACTATTTTTTGAAAATGACATTGACTCTCTTGCTGAGTAACTGCACCCTCATGTTCTGTCATGATGAAAAAGTGAGATTTCAAGCTGGGTCACTATTAGCTAAGGAATAAGAGAAATAAACTACTCTTGATGGTTCTATTCTTTTGAAAGCTGTAGTCGATTCCCAAGATAACAGTCCTGTGGCCTGATTGCATCGCAAGAACAAACAGCTCTCCTGACGATTGAAATAGCCGAGACATTTTGTTTTGTGAGGGTCTGATAAGAGCCTGAAAGCAGTGGAAGAAAAAACATTAAAGAGATGGAGTTGTGTGGACGACAACACGTGACCATCTCTCTCTGGAGATATCAGCACCACACACACAGATACCCCATTCACACCAACGGTGTTTCGGGGCCGGTTCGGTGCTGGTGCTTGAAAAGCACCGGGTTTTCCTGTTCACACCGCAGCGGAGCAGCCTCTAAGCTCCGGAATCCGGTTCGTTTCGAGCACCAAAAAGTTGTCCGTGTAGAAGCAAGAACCGCTTACGTCGGAGGGGGGCGAGATTAACCTGAGATAACAGTTAAGGCGAGTACGGCAAATAAAAGTTGTAACCAGCAGTAGTGCTGAGTGACTAGAACGCAACCACACACTTGTTAAAAAAAAAACACACTTTATAAAGTCAGGCAACACTAACCAGGCTTCGTGTGATTCTGTTTATTTGTACCTTACTTTGACCATCCGTTCGCTGTTATTGATCATTGTGGAGAGCAGGCAGACGTTTTGTTTGTTATTATAGCAGCTATCGGATGGAATCAATACATGGGCTGTACAGGTTGTCATGTCCGACTATCACAAGTAGAATCATAATGAAAAATACGCCGGTAAAAAGTGCCTGTATAAAACGGCTTAGCAATTAGTCAGTTTAGCTTCGGTTGCTATGCTAACATCACCCATGTTATACCAGAGAAACTTTCATAACAGCGTTGTGATGCCAAACAGCGTCAATTCAGACTGACACCAAACAGCGTCAATTCAGACTGACACACATTCACTTAAGGGGAACTGGGGATATGTAACAGCTGCTTGTGTGACAGTCAGACAGTGAATACTTTAGAGCCGTGTGAGCTAACCCGGAGCTAACGGGAGAATAAACTCCCGTGGAAGAGCAGCCAGCACTGCAGCGGTCGGTAAATGTCGCTGAAACACATTAATAAACAATGAACCACGGCACTCTGGAGAAAAGTATAAGGTTGGAGAAGTCGTTATTTAATTTAATCTGGCTTCGTATGATTAAAAGCAACACGATCATCGACCCGACGCAGTCCCCGGCCCGTTGTTGTTGTGAGGTGAGCTCCGTTGGGGAGAAACTCAGCGACGTAAACTGTGACGTCATGACGCAGCAGCGGCAGCACCAGTCGGGCTCTGAGCGGTGTGAAAAGAGCCGGCGCTAAACCGAAGAACCGGTTCTGAACCAGAAAAGCTCTAGCACGGAGCTAGAAGGGGAAAAGCCTTGGTGTGAAAAGGGTAATAGAGAGAGAGTAAAGTCAGTTTCTTGCACTTTCCCTAAAGTGTTTTTCTTTGTTGTTTTTTTCACAATATCACAAATTTATAGATACAATCTTTTATCTTGACCCACCAAAAACGTAAAAGGTGGAATATCTATTTTAAGTACAAAGCATCTCTTTAAGCATCATTTTGAGGGTTGATGCGTGATATCCCTAAGCGCCCTCTGTGACTCTCATTGACATGTGACATACTAACCGGCACACAGCTAATCCAGGTGCGCTGAGGAGACAGGTGCGCGGATTGAGACCGGAAAGTTTGGCGTGGGAAGCGCTTCGGTTTGTTAGCCGCAAAGCTAAAGAGGTGCCAACTTACTGT